ATTTTAAAGATAAAGGATTAAAGATGTATTTTCGGGCTTGTACTAATACATATTTTATTAACAGTTTTATAGTGCTATTAACTATATGGTTATTCTTGCATAACAGAGGTTTTGTCGGTTGCCTAAGTTCATTTATATAGAGGTTCGACTATTATAATAGCTATTTTGGTTCATAGATTTCTTTATACAATTGTTACGGACCTCATTAGTACTAATTCAGTTGATATGCGTTGTTAGATGTATTAGCGTGTCATCACCAAATTCGTACTTGGGAATTATAGAAATTCTTTGCAACAACTCTACACTAAGTTTCAAAGGGAGAGTTCGGTGATTTCTTCCCTATCTCATGTCTGTTTTCTCAACTTTCCCTGCTTAAATCTAAACCAATTAACAAGTTAAGAAACCAAAGTACTCTTAAATTTCAATATACCCGTAAATCCCATGGAGTAGCGGGTATAAAAAACGAAAGTTTCGTGCTGACATCGGGGAATAGAAGTGAAGGCAGCATAAAAATCTTCTTGAGGAGAAGAACAAGCTAAAGAAGAAGCCATGCCGAGTAACCGGCTACCCCGGGCACAGCGGTTACTTAATAATGCAAACAGGTTTTCGCCGGGCTTCACTGTACCGCAGGAGAAGAAGGAGAAGAGAACAGCCAGCAAGGACTGTGACTCGAACAAGAGAAAGGCAGTCGTCGAGTTATGAATTCGATATGCCAGAAAGGAAGGGAAAGGAAAGGCGTGCGGAGAAAGGAGCCCAGCACAACAAAACACAAAGGAGGATAAACACAAAAAAGAGAGAAAAGTACGAAACGATGACAGAGATTAGAGGAACAGGAAATGTGGGCTGGATCGATTTAATGAGTGAATGCCCGGGATCTGAAATCCGAAAACTGCAGATCCCAAGAACAGGCCCAGGGGACACAAATGCTCACAAAATTATAGTCTTCACTCCTTCCGAAATATAATATCACAGTGTGAAACGGTCGCATTAAGAATCCTAGATTATTTGTTAGGATCTAGGATGTCATAGAGCTTGGAGGGAATTTTAATTGACTGAAATATTAGAACGTACACGTACATACGTTTAAATAACAAATCGGTATTGCCTAAGAGCTACAAAATCATGTCAAATTGAGATCATTTACCTTAACTTAAAGTATGCGTTTAACATAATTCCTTCACTTTGTAACTTATAGATTATATTTAAGCCATATTAGAAAAGTCTTAAGAAACATCATATAAGGTACTCTTTTTAGTTCACAACTCACATGAAACTTAGACAATATAAAACTATCAACTTTTGATGGTATTTAAATACTCATTTCATGTTGCAATTAAGTCAATTGCACTTGGGAAAAACTTTATCTGAACAGAATTTCTAATTTCGCCAAATTTCCTAGACAATTACCGGCCAGATTACTCAGTGTTGTTGGTTGGTCCCAGCTCTTGGCCAATTTCCTGTTGCCTCGTTTTTGTTCTTCACCTTTTTTTTCCTGTTGCTGTCGCTGTTGGCTTGGGCCATGGGTCCATGAGCAGTGCAGAGCGACTGTTTCTCTAATTCGAGCAGTTTGGTAATTTCCAAATTGGCGGCCCCGTAATCAAACTGTAATGCGGCTCGTCATTAAGCACGCAAGCAACGAGCAGCAACAAGGCAACAAAAGCAACGAAGCAACATGGCACGGCAGCCTACAAAAGCTGCAATAATAGTGGCAACATTGGCAAAAACAACTGCAACAATGCAGTAGCAACACCAATAGCTGAAAATACTTTCAAGCCCAAAAATATCAGAACCAGCCGCAAGAAATTCTCAAACTATTTTAATTTCCACAACAATAATTTATAGACTCTTTAAAAACGTTTATATTGTAAGTCGTTTATTAAATATAAATGATTTAGGACAACTTAAACTTTAATTTGTTTAAATTAAGTTTATATTTTCCAATAGAAAAAAGCAAACTAATACTGATCATAAATACAAGTAAAATTATTATTTACTATAAAAAAACTTGAATTAAATATTTAAATTAATTATAAGCCATGCATATTTACCATCAGGCATACGAATAAATTCAATTAAAATGTAAAATTGTAAAAAGATATATGTATGTAGCAGCAATAACACGCCCAAAAGCGGCTGCAACAACAATCTCACAGAGCCCCTGCAGCAACAGCAACAACAACAGCAATTTCGAGCAAACATATGCTGGGGAGAAAAAGCAAAATCACAAAAACAGCTTTCCGAAGAGAGGCAGAAACGACGAAACAGCTGATTCGTTATCAGCAGACGCTGAATAAGGCCCCGAGCTGTGAGAGAGCAAGTTAGAAAGAGAGAGCCGCTCTCTCTCTCTCTCGCAGCCAACAACAATAAGTGGGGGAAAAACGACGCCAGCGGCGGCTGCTGCTATGGCAACGACCTTCCTTATTTATTACAATGTGTGTAATTCTGTCTGCCTCTCTCGCTCTCTGTCTCCGTCGCTCCGTGGGCGTGTGTGTGAGCGAGAGGGCGCGAGAGAGATACTTAAATTCCCAAGTTTTTAGTGCAGAAATGTCTGCAATGCTTTAGTTTAATATTGCTGTATGTTTGACTTGTATTTTCGTTTTTTTGTGATTTTTTTTGTTTTGGCTGCAGAAGAGCCTCTCAGTGCGCAGTTTTGGATTTTGTCTTCCAAAGACTATGGGGAGGTGTTTTTGGGAATTTTTAGGGATCTATTGGGAGATTTTACTTGCATATACTTATCAAAGTAATAGGTGTGTTTTAGGTGGGGCTTTTAATTGTTTTATAAGAGTTTATTTATAAATAAACTAATAAAATAAGTTTATTAAAAATTAATATTGCTACTCACTATCCAATAAAATATATTTACTAAATTAATAACGCTTTTTTAATTGTGGAGCTTAAATTCAATTAAATTAGAATTACGAATCTAATTAATAATTAAAGTTGAGATCTAAAAGTTGTTACTTTTTATTTTTAGAACCAACAGAATTACCAAAATTTCATTTTCATTGTCCGCTTAAGCAATATATGTATGTATGATAGTGGAATTACTTTGAGGGTTTTAATTTAAATGATAATTTTGTTTAAATTTAATTTTATTTATTCACCGGTTGTCACCAAAAAGAGTGTCAAACGATGAGTTAGAAAAGTTTTCTAAAATCTGTTTAGCTCTTAAACCGGTGTTGATTTTATTTAGAGACCCAAAATGGAAGGTTTTGCTGATAGATTTATTTTTATATCGCGTTTTTAGTGCAACTCAATTAGCTCTCAGCTCGCTGTTAACCCCTTTAGGCCCCATCTGCTTTTACGGCCCCATAAAGCTGCTCCCAAAAAAAGCGTTTGCCGTAAAAAATTAAAGCAGGGCAGCAGCAAACGGGAAAAAATCGTATTACAAAATAATGCGCGCTCATTGTCTCGCGCTCTCTCTCTCGCTCGCTCTACTGCGGTTGTAAAGATGGCCGCCGTGTAGTAATATGGCTGAATGTGTAACACACACACAGGCACACCCATCCAAGAGAGAGCGAGAGAGCGCGCACCATATGCTGCCATTGAATGCAATTGGCTTTCGGACTCTCAGCGGACGCGGTTGTGTGTGCTGAATACGTCACGGAACATCAGCTGTGCCGAACAGCAGGTAAACGTCGGCAGAAGGGCGGCAGCGCAGCGACTGCGGCCAGAGCGCTGCGATGTGGAAGCTAAGCAGTGATGCCGGGTTATGACCATCCGTATTAGCTAGATTCTCAAAGAAAAAGCTAAAACTATATAAATGTAGGAAGTAATAATGGAAAACAAGCAAAGCAGCAACAACAATTACTTTTATTAGTATTATTTATTATTGTTCCATGCATGGCAAACAAAACATTAAAATTATATAAACATTTATTTATTAAATATATATATATCATATACTAACAGAAGCTCGTCTTCTCTCCAAAGCTAAGATCTATTTCAAACAGTAACATAGATGTAAATAAAATAAATCGTTGAAATCACGAGTTCGAATCCATTGAAAAAATATGTTTGATTTATATAAAAATAAAAAATATTTAGAGATTTAGGTGGTTGCAAATTTCTTATGCTCTTCAATATTCATAGTTTCTATATGTAGCTTGAAATATCTTTTACTGGCACCACTGATTACAAGTCCACAGAGAGCGAGAGGCAATTTCAAACTCTTCGCTCTCCGAGGCTCTCCACATTCAGCAGTTCAGCGTGTGTTTACCTGAGCGCAGACGAACTCGTGTGGATCGTGGATTGTGGACTTTGTGGACTCAATCGTGACGTGACGTGACGTCGAGGTTTCCTCTGCGCGACCAAGTCAGATGAATTTAAACTTTCGAACCGAGCGGTCCGCGAATATGCTATACTTAAGGCTAGAAATTATAAATTAACCTGGCATCTGGTCATCGCGGACGGAGAGAAAGAACTCGGCTCTTGTGCGGATCAGACGTAGAAAGCGGCGCTGCGCTAGAACCGAATGAAAAGACAAGGAGTAGGCGAGCAAATCAACTGTTAACCAGCCAGCGAAAAACGGGCGAAAAAGACTGAAAACACACACGTGGATTGTTCACTCACACACACTCCTCCCACACTCAACACACACGAACGCAGCTCTAACTGTTCGCTGCATTTATGTAAAACAAAAACAAAGACTGATTAAAACGCTAAATAATTAAATATATACAAAAACAAACATACATATATAACCGAAACAAAGTTAAACACGCGAACAGCAAGCTAAAATATTATACGGGTTAAAAAGCGAATTCCAAAGCAAAAACAAAACGTAAATATATGGATTAAGGTTCCTCCGAAACGCAAAAACAAAAAATAACAACAAATACAACACTCACGGATTACCTGCAGCAGCAAATTTACCGTTAGCCGCTCTTTTTTGGATTACCAGTGCCAATCAAATCAAATAAAACAAAAGCAAATAAAAGAAAACAACCACTAAAAAGTGAATTTTTTCGAAAGTGCGAAAGCAAAGCAAAGAAAAAGCCAGCAAAAATGCAAAAATTCTAAAGCAACAAAGTAAAAGCGAAAAGCTACCCAAAGCGTATTCTGTGTTACCAAACCTCGAACGCGACTCGAGAAAAGCTAAGAAACCCGGGGGAGCAGGAGCAGAGTTTGGAGCAATGACGATGGCCGCCTGTTATGCCAACTACGACATGTCGTCCCTTTCGCACGGCATGTCGGCTCTGTCTGCCCTGCAGCAGCAGCAGCAACAACAGCAACAACACAGCCAGGCGCAGCAGCAGCAGCAGCAACACCATCACCAGCAGCAGCAGCAGCAACAGCAGCAGCAACAACAACACATGTACATGTACAGCAACGCCCGTCACAGCCATGCGGCGGCGGCCCAAACGCAGGTCGCCGCCGCCGTTGCCAGCAACAGACAACAACAGCAACAGTCCGCCAGCAACAGCAACAACAGCAATGGCAACGGCGGAAATGCTGCGCCAGCCGCTTCCCCGCAAAAGGACTACAGCATCCCGCTGCACGTGGACTGCAGCGTAGAGTACGAGCTGCCCAACCAGCCCAAGCCGCCGGCAGGACAGCGCGTGGAGCCGCTGCTGATGATCCATCCGTGCTACTTCCGCAAGATGGAGTCGCAGCGCCGCAGTCCGTTCGTGAACAACATGCATGCCACCGCACGGTCCATCAGCTCCAGCTCGCTGAGCAGTGGAGCGGCCCTGGGCGGTAGCGGCAGCGGAGCGGCGGTGGCCACAGCGCCCAGCAGTAGTGCGGCCAGGCGGGGAGCTCGAGCGGCAGCTTCCACCGCCCAGCAGCAGCAACAGCAACAGGCGCAGCGCTATCAGCAGCAGCAGCAACAACTGCGGCAGCAGCACCAGCAAATGTCCCAGATGTCGCAGCAAGCCCACTATCCCCAGCAGCAGTCTAGTCTGGAGCATGTGCGGCGGCAGCAGCAGCAGCAGCAACACAGCCAGGCGCAGCAGCAGCAGCAGCAGCAACGTGCCAGCAGCAACCAAAGCCAACGTCAAAGCCAAAGTCAGAGCCATGCAGCCAACTCGGCTGCGGCGGCAGCGGCGGTTCAGGCCCAGGCCCAAGCCTCCATCGCCGCCGCGGCTGCCGGCCAGTGGGATCAGCTGGCGGCAGCCCTGGCAGCCCGCACCGCCCTCACGCCCCATCACATGCTGCACCCGCACAGTCACAGTCACAGCCATTATGCGGCCAAGGGCAGCGGTGGCGGCGGCGGCAAGCGGGACGCCATGATCTCCGGCAGCAACTATGGACAGACGGCGGCTGCCTCAGGAAAACTGCAGCAGCAGTCGCAAGTGCAGCAGCATCAGCAGTCGCAAGTGCCACAGCAGCAGCAGCAGCAGCAGCAACAACAATGCCTGCCCCCGCCGCCCTGGGATGCGACGTCCATGCTGATGGACCGGTCGCCGATGGCCACAGTTCCTAGCAATTATCAGGCCGGCCCTGACACCAATCCCATGCGTCTCTACTCGGCCACGCCCACCACGGGAGCGGCCACAGGCGGAGCGGCGGCGACGGCAGCCGGCACAGGAGCAACGGTGGCGGGAACGGCATCGGGTACGGTTGCTGTGGCGATACCGGGAGCGGTAACCACTGCCACGGACAAGCTGAGCGGCAAGTACCGGCAGTACCTGCGTTCCCAGCGAATGCATCCATATGCGGCGGCCGCCTCGCTTAACCTGGCAGCCGCGGCTGCTGCCGCCGGTCAGACGTCCTTTGTCCCGTTCAGCTCGGCGGCCACGGCGGTGGCGGCCACGCCCACATTCCAGCACCTGCCGCAGATCTCCTGCTACAACGTGTGATGCAGCAGCAGCAGCAGCAAGGACAACGGCAACAGGAGCAGCAGCAGCAGCAGCAACAGCAGCAACATGCAACATGAGACACAGACGCCTACCAAGTACGCGTCGATGAAATAGCCGCCTCAAGGAATAACCAATAGATCCTCCCCCTAAGCATTACTATATATACACACCGCCCCCTCAAAGCTTTTAGAATCAAAAACTAATTAACTCTAACGACATATTAAGAGATGGAAAAAAATTAACTGTTTAGCTGCTATGAGAAATTGTTGTCGGACGGCGAGAAGGAAGGCGATAGAAAAAGAGGAAAACGAGCGATCTTTTTTCTTTTTTATGTAATGGTAGTAATTGATAAACGATACAAAAAGAAACAACAAAAAAATGCAAACTATTGTAGTGATATTTGTTATAAAATAATTTTAGTAATTAATTTAATTTAAATTAAACAACCAACCAGAAACAACAACAACCGCTCTGTGTGAAACCAACAACCATAAACAACGGCAACAAGAACATCCAACAACAACCAAACCAACCAATTGCTAAAAACTACACATACGCATATTTAATTAAAAGAAATCAAACAAAATGTTATAACAAACCATTTATTGAAAGAATACGAAAATATGAAAAGCAACAAATTATTACCGAATCAATAAGACAGAGAGACAGACAGACGAACAGATAAATAGACAGAGAAAGAAAGAGAGAGAGAGAGAGAAAAACAGAAAAAAGCGTAAAGCAACACAAAAATACGAATAAAAATTATTCAAAATTATGCAACGTAATTTGAAGCGAGATATGCAAAAAATTAAGTAAAATTGTGTTTTCAATTAATGCTAGAAAGAGTGTGTAGTTCAAGTGACTAACATATGTATGTATGTATGTATGTATGTATGTATGCTGCGGCGGGGAAGAGTTCCCACTGCCGTCGGCTATCGTGGATTACTTTTCACACCTTCCTTCCTTGCGGCCTGCCTTTGGCTCCTCTTCTTGTCCGTCTTAATTTGATTTTCAGCTTTGCTTTGCCCCATCATTTCGCTTCGCTTCGCTCTTTTCCCCCCTGTGCGCTGCGGTGAGCTGTGATTGATTAATGTCATTGATGGAAGACCTCCGTTTTTGGGGTTGAAGAAACCTCAGCGTACAGTATTCCCTGCCTAATGGGAAACCTTTCCGCATGGAACTAATTTTGTAAATGGATTGCGTCTATCTTACGATGCAGTTTATTGTTATTGGTTAAAGAACTTAAATTTCACAGCTTTCTTATTTATTTATTACTGTCTCTGATGCCTCTGATCAATAATCATTTCTTCGTTTTAGTTTGTTTTCAATTACATATAATATTTTCTTAAATAATGCACTATAACTCCCTCAAGCGAGGTCTTCCTTAAGCCTCGATTTTATTGTTTGGAAGTAAACTTAAACATTAACAACAAATCATAGACTTTAGAAAAGTTTTATGTCTCTATAATTTATTATCGTATTCCTCATAAAGACATAAAACCTAATGTCAGTTTTTAGAAGAATTTCAAGACCTTGTGATACTCATTTTCCAGCGACCACTATAAAGCCCTTGCTCATTTACTCGAACTGTATAATTCATTTGTTTTTTTTTGTGTCCATGGCTCCGGTTGTGTTCCCCCGATTTTCCCCTAGATAGAGTTGTGTTTACGACCTCACATAATGCTTCGTTTGGAGGCAAACCCACAGAAAAGTCTAATGGCTTAAAGCCGAAGTCTGAGCTGGCAGGAAACGCGAGATTTTTATCGGCAGAAATTGTTTTAGCTTCGGCCTCAAGGTCCCTCGGGGAAATGTGTATTTTCCATTATTGATTGCACGCCGAAGCGATTGGAGACGGTCCGGTTCCATGGGAGTTGCGATTCCAGGAAGTAAATAACTGATTAATTTATGCATAGGCAAGGGAAGCCCGCTGAGGATTGCCAGTGTGGCAATCAGCGAATTAATTAAGGCAAAAACTGTATTTGGATCTGAGCCGAGCGACATCCGCTGGTGACCAAAAAAAAAGAACTGACTCATCCGCGAAACTGAACCGCTTTAGGCTGCCCCAAATCCAAACGAGTCCGTGTCCACGTCCAAGTCGTCTGGTCTCCACTTAAGATCCAACAAGGAGAGACAAGAGGTTGGAGCAAAATGCAGTCATAGACGGGAACTGGACGAGGCCAGCGTTGACGTCTGGAAAATGTCTGGAAAAGAGCCAACAAAAAATCAATGCATTCTTCTAAAAACAGCGACGACACTTGTTATTTATATATTTGTGTGAGAGTAATTTGGGGAAATTTATTTCATTTAACATTTATCATATACATTTTGGTTTCTTATAAAGCTTATTCAAAGATTAAAGACAACATTTACCAACTCTTAATTATTTTCCATATTTTCATTACATTATTTATAAATTATATTGATTGTTGATCGTAAGGGGCCTTGCGTATTTTCCCTTGCTTTCGCCCCACCATCCCATCCGGCAGTTTAAGAAACGATTGCCATCTATTCATTTATTCAATTCATATTAAATTGGTCGTAGATTAGAGGACGGAAAAATATATTTCAATTGCCGTAGACGGCGGCGTTCACACAAGTGTAATTAAAATATACTACAGATCGCTCCAGCTGACAGCGTTGGTTGTTTGTTTTCATTTCGTTTGAGCAATCAACTATCAGCTGCTGGGGCCATTTGCATGTCCCCTCCTCCCCCTTGGCCCCACCAAGCCGTCAATCCATTTCGAATGCGAGGTCATCGCCATTGTCGTCACTCATACGCCCCGCTGCCCGCTCCCCGATGGGCAGGTGCTGCTCGTCCGTCTCGTCTGGCATTACAAAGCTGAATAGAGGCTGCACTTTGGATTCACATATTCGCATTCACATTCACTTCTGATTCGATTATGGTGCCATGTGTGGGCCCCGGTGATAATGTCCGAGTGCCGTACTTGAGTGCTTTCGCTTATTTGACATTTTTCCGGCCCGTCCCCAAAAAATGAGCTCAGTGATCAAGTGGCTAGTTTGGGGGCCCTTGGGAGAGAGATTACACATATGTATATATTTTGGGAAGCTTTATCACTCGGGCAGGAAGGGGAAATGGGGCTGAGGGACTTTAATTGAGCGCTTATCATTGGGTGTTTTGCAGTTTACGATTTCATTCAAAGCGGTTCAAGTGTTTCTTACTCACAACAACTCAAACAAACTGCAAATTAATTGTGGGTCTTTTGTTATTCGAAACCAGACAGGAAGAAGTAACCAAAAGGGTTTTGAATCATTGAGAGATAGGGAAACTCTCGTTCAAATACTTACAAGTTTAAAGAGGGAAACTAAAACATTTAAAGGCATTGAAAATAATTAATAGAGATAACGACAGCATCCAATATTCATTTTTGTAATCAATTAAATTGTTGTGAAGTTTTTTATAGAGGCGAATCCATCAACATTTTATAATTTCGCGCTAATCAGTCTTTCAGATTTTTCGTAATTTCCCAGTTTTTTGCAATTAATAGTACTTGAACTGTTTTTAATTGCATATATATATTTTGTTCGAACTGTGTAAATGCTACCAGCTAATATTATTTCTTATTGTTTTCATACTTTTACCCAATATCAATTCACTTTTAAACAATTTAAACATTATCTAAGCTCATACAAGTTCAAAAAAACCCGCTCGAGTTCTAATAAAAAGTGAATATAGCACTCACAGCCGTGCCTCAAAGTGATTTGTATCCGTCGGATGCAGTTTCCATTGACCATATTCGATTAATCGCTTTGCCTTTCGCTTAGTCAGAGCTGAATGGACGGCCTTATAGAGCGGGATAGGTCAACTAAAAGGTTTTCTCTCTCTAATTGACTTTATTTAGACGTTTCTGCTTTTTGCTGCTGTCAATCGGAGAGCAGCTGCCATTTAAAAGTAATCAACAGATAAATAAACCCAATAATGGCCCGGCAAAGGCAAGCCAAAATCCAAAAGTGAAACAAAAACCGATGCGGCTGGGGAAAACATGCAAATAAAAGGCACCGAAATAACAGAAGCACCCAGTTGCAAGAGTCAGTTATTTTTAAATTCGATTCCCGAATACCGAGTAACGAAAATTGTTCGAAATGAAATGACGCAGAGCGCATTAAGCCAAGTCCGCGCCGCGAATACAAAAAGAGTAACCCAAAACTAAGTGGAAACGGCGACGGCAGTTGTCAAGCGCCAAAAAAAGGCAAAAATGGAAAATACAGGCCAAAAAAACACAACGTCGGAAGCTGTCTAACCAAACATTGTCTGCGGGGGCGGCCGGTAGGCGGGGGAGGGGGCTAAGTGGCAGCCACAAAAGAGGCAGAAACGCGGAGGACACTCTACTCGCATTGAGGCTGGTCATAAAGCCGATATTTACGAGGCGGAGGCACCTCCACTCCACTCCCAGACTTCAGACATCGGATACTCCGGAGACCCCGGACTCCGATTTCAGACCTAGGCAACCGGTTTTGTCGTCATCATTTCATTTCATTTCATTTCATTTTTTCTTTCTGCTCTTCGCCTGCTCGTTCATTTTTATATGTATTTTCTTTTCGTTTTTTGGGTCAACTTCAATCTGCTGCCAAGCGCGCTACATCATTTCTGACATAATTAAAACATTTTTAGCAACAAAATGATTTAAATATTTTCTAGGCGCTCGGTAATTATTATGCGCCCTCCCCCTCTTCCCAAATAAATATTTATGCCGAATGATAAGACGAGATGCGAGTGAGCGACAGTTTTAATAAGCTTTAATTAAAAAATATAACAGATCAGATAAAAATGAATGCAAATATATGTATTAAATTGTCACGCGGTAGCTGTAACTAATTAGCATAATTTATATGCATGAATGCACAGCGCGGTATGGGATAGAGAGCTCGGGATTAAGCGGCGGCTTTAAATAAATTAAAAAATAAATTATTAATTAAAAAGGCAAATTAATGGCACTTAATTGACCTCACTCTCTCTCTCTCTGTGTGTGTGTGGAAGATTATGAGCCAAATGTATGAAATTATACAAAAGCCAAGCCCACAGAAAAACAAAAACAAAAACAGCTTAGCAAACTATAAATAATTAAGCTCACCGAATGGGAATTTTTGCTTCGGTTTGGCTTATTTAGTCGATTGCGCTGAGTCAGCGAGACAGATGATGTCAAAGGCGATTTGTCATTGATTTCTAATTCCTAATTTATATTTTAGCTTGCTTTTCACAATTGTGAAAACTTTTGGCTGGCCCAGAAGTACATGGTTAACAAAGTCATTGCTAAGCCAAAGCCAAATCACTTGGCTGCCTTTTCCATTGGGCAAGAGCGTGGCCAGAGACAGGTAACATTAGAGAGGGAAGGTCAAAAGCTTTCAAAAGGCCTACAAAAGCCATAAAAAATCAACTTGAACTACAAACTTT